ACGTCCACTTGTCCTGCTCAACGTTGAGGGTGGGGATAAGGTTGTCCCACGAGTTGTCGAGCACCGAGATGATCTTGGTGCACAGCTTCATCTCCGACACCTTGCTGCCTGCCGCTGCCATCCTCGCATAGGTGTCCTTGACCTTGTCAAGCACCGGCTTCACATCGTCTCCCGGCCGCATGGAGAGGGCAGCCAGCTTCTTCTCCAATACGATCACCATCGGCAGCGTGTTGGGCTGAACCACGTCGCGTAGCAGCTTCCACGCCTTTGGTCCCGAGTCATCGAGCTCCACCAAATCCTTGATGTGCTGGAACATGTCGTTGTTGACCGACTGTAGAATCAAGTCGTACAGCATGGTATATCTCAACGCCCCGACTACATCCGGGTGCAAAAACGACGCGGCTCGGGAAAGGGATCCGCCACCCTGCGTCATCCTGTCCGGCTAACTGAGTGCACGTCCTGGGCGAGGAGCGTCACCCTGCGTCGCCCGGCAATCCCGATGAGAAAAACCCCGATAGCACCTCTCAACGGAACCTCCGTACGAGGTCGACACGTCGACGACGCCGGTCGCGGCCACCTTGCCACGACGTCCTCCTTGCCATCGGCGCGGACTGCGACGTGAGGCCCACCGCGATTCCTGGCCGACCACTGCTCTGGCGCGCAGAGCCACACGTCGTCCATCCGAAACACAACATTCCACGCGGCGAACATCGATCGACGAACGTCTGTCCACGCGGCAATCAAGCCTTCGCCGGCCTGCTGGGGGGAACGTGCCCGCGGGATACCATCGTCGGGCGACGCGATGAGCACTGCTGCGTCACGCCGACGTGTAAGCACGGTTCACCGTGACGGGAACACCGGACTGTCGGCTGTGAAGAAGACATGCGTGCCCCGTGCCACGTCGACCATTGCGCCGCCGTTCTGCCAGGGTTGGAGACCTGCCCACGGATCGGCCGACAACACCTGTCCGCCCGAACCGAGACTGTGCCTCTCTATGCTATGACCTCATGACGGCCAACTGTCCATGGCATTTCGTCACTTGTTTGGTGCGTTGCCATTTCGTCACTTGTTTGTTGCGTTGCATTCATTCTCATTCTGCTCCGCAACATTTCCCTCAGTCATTTTCACGCTTCTCGGAGACCGACCGACCACGCGTGGTGCTGGGTCGACGACGAGCCACGTCGGTGTAGAGTGCGTTTAGGTCGGCAAACTGTACGGGCTTCCGACTTAGAGTCATTCCGACTAGGACGACTACCTAGGTCGACAACAAGCGAAAGTCACCCAGCAGAACACTAATCCGCCGCCCTTACTTCGGCGACAACTAGAGGCCGACGGGAACAACTCTACCCGCCGAGATGGCTGGCGTCGCTCCGCCGGCGCGGAGCAGCGCGATTCCCGACCTGAACGAGCCTTTCATGGAGGAAGATGTAGACGCCGCTAGGGCAAATATTCCCGCCGACATGGTGGTCGACGTAGACGCCGCTAGGGCAAAAATTCCCGCCGACCCGACCATCCCCCTACCGCCAGGGACGAAAGGGGCTTCCGAACCCGGGCCGGACCGGTACTCGCCGCGTTCGGACACAGAGCAGCCGCCGCCAATTGGACCATTTCCAGAAAACGACTACATGTATCTGACCGTAGAGGACTTGTTGGCAGCCGACGAGAAAGATGACGCCTTCCTGCATAACATTCCTCGCGACGATTTTGCGGAAGCCGCCTTCGACATCAACAAAGAGCTCGCCAAGAAGAACAGATTGCTGAGGATGATGTGGGCTTTCCGGCATCTGGACACGCTGGAGGCGAGAACGACCCGGGTTCAGTACCTGCGGGCGCTGCTCGACTTCAGGAGATGGTGCTGCGCGAACCTTCCAAGACAGCCAACCGCCAGAGTCAAGGGGGACGGCGTGCTGGAACACGAGGACGAGATAGGGAGGTACATCGACGAAGACATGGGTGATCAGTGGCACACCGCCAAGGGCGACCTACAATGGATGCACGGTCCCTGCGTCAACGCCACGCGGATCAGGGCGTACATTCTGTCAATCGCAAGGGAGTATGGTATTGCAAAGGCCGAGGAGCTCGAGGAGCTGAATCCCGACGTCCGTGTCCAGCCCCTGAAGCCGACATCGGTTTCGATGCTGCTCATCCGTATCAAAGCGCTCCAGACAGCCTACAAGGTCGAGGGGACGCTCTTTGGGGTGAAGGAGCTCCACATCATGTACGACATCTCCGAGGTCCGCTCGGAGGTGCGCGCGATGGTCAGAGAGAAGTGGCACAGGGACGACAGGTAAGTCGGCAAGTCGTCCCGCGCCTGTTTCCCGGTTCGCCCAGCTAACCCAGTCCTCGTGGAAACTGATGTGCAGGGATTGCGTCGACCGGCACCGCGGAACGCTCGGCGACACGTACACCACCGACCAGATCCACCACCTCATGTTCAAGGTCTTGCCGACCTGGGCAGCTCGGGCGTACGAACCCAAAGCGGCCACCCCCTCCCAGACACTGTGGAAGTTTCTGCTGATGAAGACGATGACCCTCTTGGGTCACCACACCCTTCTCCGCGGAGCCAGTCTCCGAGCAATCGAGCTCCCCGACCTGTTTTTGTACAGAATGGGGAGCGCGTCGCCCGAGCACTCCACTCGACGGCCGGTTGTCATGGTCGTCGCGTCACGAAACTCCAAGACGAACAAGGATGCTCGTCTGCATCACAGCTACGCGGCGAGACACCTGGAGCAAGAGATGTGCGCCGTCGGTCACACACTGTTGTGGCTGCACTTCGTGTATGACCAGCTCAGCCGATCGCCCACTTCTCGATGTGTGCCGCCCCTCGACTTCACGACTCCGTACAGCTGGTATCACAAGCACCTCTTTCATGCTCGGAACGACAAGGAACAAAAAGAGCTGTCGGCGTCATCTCATTCTCGGATCACGAAAGAGATGTGGCGGACGAACAACATCTTCATCACGCGCAACACCCACGCCGCCCGGGCGGGTGAGGCACAGGAGCTGGCCGACGACGGCGTTCTGCGATCTGACATCGCCGACTTGGGCCACTGGGCGCTCGACAAGCTCGCGAAGAGCTACATCACGACCATCCCGAAGGCGACGGTGTTGAGAAAGGCCGGCTACACGGGCAAGCGCGGCGACTACCACCTCGACCGGAGCATGGTGAAGCCCGACGACAAGGTGGTGGCCCTCATCGCCCAGCACATCTTTCCGTGGGCTGAAGCGGAACTGGCCAAGGTGAGCATTTCGGACGGCAATAACGCCGACAACCCGCCGACCATTTCCACGACGACATTATACCGACGGCTGATTGTGTTTGTGTTTGTGTTCGACTCGCAGGCGGTAAAATGCGCATCCGCGAGAGAGCCCAACACGGCCGGGGTGCACTTCCTGCAATCGCTCATCGAGTTCGGCCGCCGAATCGTCGCCGAGGATCTTGCGTGCATGCTGATGCGCGAACCGTGGCACCCGTACGTCCAGAGTTCCAAGCTCTGCCGCGACCCCGACTTCCAGAAATGGGCCAAGGACGTCAACCGGGTGGAGCTCGAAACCATCGCGACGCGCAGTACTCCGAGCGAGAACCCCCAAGAGGTACGGCGTGCGCGTTCCGGCGACCTACAAAACAAGTCGTCCTGCCACATTGGCTCACCTTTTGCCGACCATCCCCCTTGGATTGCAGGAATTCAGCGCGCGAATCGACGCCGAATATCAGGTCGACCAGCTCACCATGATGCTGCACCGCAAGAGGGAGGATGCCGCGATCGAGAAGCTTGAGATGCAGAAGAAGTTGGAGGAGAAGGACGCGGAGATCGCGAAGTTGATGCAGGCTCTCAAGCTGGCCGAGGCACGGCCGACGCCGTCTGCGCCCGCACCGTCAAGGCCGATGACGGCCGCCGAGAAGGCAGCGTCCGTCAAGATCGAGAAGGAACAGGAGGATGACCTGACGTACGAGGTCAACGTCGTGCATCCCTGGCGCGCATCCAAGACGGTCGAGGCTGCATGGCGCTGGTGGAACAACCCGTCCAACTTCGACTCGCGTCCGTTGCGCGAACGTTTCGACGAGCACAGATTCCTCGTCAGACACACGCGCATGATCTGCAAGGTCGAAAAGGGCGACAAACCCGCCGCGTCGGCGAAGTCGGCGAAGAGCTCTAGTCCCACGACCGAGGTGGGTGAGACGGGGAAAAACGATGCGCTGCAGCACTGCACTCGCCGGATGAGGCGGATCATGGAAGCGGTGCACGACTTGCGGCGGAGCGACGACGCCGCTGACACCGCCGCCGTCATCAAGCTACTCGACCACCTGGGGCGAGCGGGGCTTTCCACTTTCAGCGACGTGCTCTTGGTCCTCCGTGCAACCCCGCCCATCAAGGTCCCCACCACAGCCGACGGAAAGTCGGTCGGCATCAAGGGTCTGGACAAGCCGCTGGATTTGAAGCTCGCCGTTGCGTGGGGCGTGGTCACGGCGGGCTACATGGACGCTGACTGGGGAAAGAGGCTCTTCGGCGACTTGTGGGATGAGCAGGCCAATAAGGCCGGCTTGGAGGCCGAGGCGACGGTGGGAGCCATCGGCGCAGGGAAGCGCAAGAGGGCGGGCTGAGGGTACTGCGTCTGGGTCCGACTTGTGCTGCTGGCTGAGCGTGGTGTGACTGAGGGTGGGTTGAGGGCGGCCCGAGGCCGGGCTGAGGGCGGGCTGAGGGTGGGCTGGGGATGTGCTGAGCGTGTCCGACCTGTTCTAGTGACTCTATATGGTTTTCTTTTACTGGCAACTTTGTTTCGACTTGTAAATTAGTTGAAGTTTGTTCGTTGTTCATGCATCAAACCGACTCCACACCACAAAACCTACGTCACAACGTTTCTGAAAAACTACCGACGAACAAGTTCAGCATCACTAAGCCGGAGAGGCACAACAAAACAACAAAACAGCGGTCAACAAGCCTGCAGCGTTTGCACCCACGCCGACCATGCTACGAGCAGGCGGGCCAGCCTTCGTCGACCTAGGCGTCGGCGACCTGCTTCCCTTTGTGCTGCTGCCCCCTCGCCCCCCTGTCCCGAATGATAACCTTCATCTGGGGGTCGATAGGCAAATCGACGCCGCGAGCCTTGAGCTTCGGGCCTCCGACATTGCAGTCCCCCCAGAAGGCGAGGTTCTCTATCATGACACGGGCGATCAGCTCGTCGTGCTCGCGCTCCTCTCCGACCTCAGGCAGCGACCTCAGCATAGCCGCCTGCAGGTCCTTCGTCACCGTTTCGGTGACCTCCCCTACGACGACCTCCCGGGAGGCCGCCCGCTTAAGCACCGCCTCGATGACGGTCCGACACCGACTCGCGAACTCGTTGGACGCTCCGCGCACGGTCGCTGCCGCCCCCCCTTCGCCGGCCGCTACTTCCGCCGTCGCATTGGTCTCCGAAAAACACCACACCGCGGCCGCAGTACCGGCGAGGATCTCGGACAACCGCTCCGACCCGACGCCCGGAATGGGCAACACTTTCGCGGCCACAGGTGCGAAGGCGGCACACATCGAAACGCGTGCGATCATGTCGCTCGCCACCTTCTTCTTCGCGGCCTTCTCGGGCTCGGTCGACTCCGGAAGGTCGCCGAACCACACCGCCGGGCGAAGAGCCAACATGAGAGCTGCGCGGTCGGCTCCGGTTATCCTGTTGTATTCCGCGACCACCTGTTGGAACCTGCGAAACACAGTAGGAATACCCACCGTCACCGACCGGCCCACGCGTACCGACCGAAACGAGCACCAAATTGAGCATTCGCCAAGCTTACCTGTCGCGGAAGACGTTCGCCCCTCGGCTCCACATGACCATCCACATGCCCCCCGGAATCAATCACGCCACATTCCAGTCCGCCTTATACTGCGCCATCACTTCCTCCTTGACCCCACCGAACTCGTCGAGAACCACGTCGCTGACGAAGCCGTCAAACGACGAAACGGCGACAGCGATGCAGTAGGCGGCCTCGGACTTGTCCATCGACCGGCAGATGTAACGGCTCTTCTTCCCTAACTTCATCTCCGAGACGGTCAGCCTAGTTGAAGGGTCAACGCGGACGCCTGAACCCTTCCGACCCTGCGCGGCCGCTTTGGACGTCCCCTTGGAAGAGCCGACCTTCGGCGGGCCGCCCTTCGCCTTGTCCTTGCCCTTGCGCCTCTGCTTCCCATCGCCGACCTCACCGGTTGTGGCCGGGGGAGATTTGGCGCCAGCCGCGCTATGGTCCTCCGCAGGAGCAGTCGAGGCGGCTGGTGCACCCTGTTGCGCTCCCACGGTGGGAGCTGCTGCTTGTAGTTTCTCCCGCATGACCTCGATTTCCGGGTCCGGCATCACGATGCTGGCGAGGATCTCTTCGTCCACCCCGCCGGCCTCTTCCGCCGCTCTCCACACAGCCGCCTCCACCGTTGAGCCACTCGGCCCTGCAGTCGCCGCCGCGACGTTCGCTGCCTCTGCTCCTTGGTCGACCACCTGGTTGCTGTGAGTCGGAGGAATTACCGGGGTTTTGTGACCCTGATCCTCGAGCCATTTCAGATACTCGTCGTACGATGGCTTTTGAGTGATTAGGGCCTCGACCGCCCGAGACTCAACAGCCGTTGGGATCGGGATGGGTTCCGCGGCGACCATGGCCCCATGAACGGGTAAGCTGGCCGCACCGGCAGCCTGCTGGACATGCTGTCCGACCACCGCTGCTGGGCGCAACAGCTCGTCGACCAGCGCCGTGACACCACCCGGTCGCGCGTCACGTGCAGTGGCAGGACTCGTCGCGGTGTGCGGATGCTGGCCCGCCGCGGCCTGCTGGACATGCTGTCTGACCACGGATGCTGGGCGCAAGAGCTCGTCGACCAGCGCCGTGGCGCCGGCCGAACGCGCGTCCCGTGCAGTCACCGGACTCGTCGCGGTGGGGGTATGCTGGCCCGTACCTGGCGGCCCGCCCTGCTGTCCGACCACCGCTGCTGGGCGCAAGAGCTCGTCGACCAGCGCCGTGACGCCAGCCGGACGCGCGTCTTGTGCGGTCGGCGTGCTCGTCGACGGGTGAAGATGCTGGCCCGCACCGGCCGGCCCGCCCTGCTGTCCGACCACCGCTGCGGGGCGCAGGAGGTCGTCGGGCAGCTGCGCTGTGACGCCGGTCGGTCGCGCAGTCGGCGTACTCGTCGAGGGTTGAACATGCTGGACCGCAACGGGCTCCCTGCGCGCCTGGCCGACCACCGCTGCGACGTGCATGTCGTCTGCCGTCTGGGCCGTGCCGCCGCTCGGTCGAGCGCCTTGTGCAGTCGCCGGACCCATGAGCTCGTCGGCCAGACTCACCTGCTCGCAGCTCGGTGGCGCGTCGTGTGCGCTCGGCGGATCGGTCGGGGCCTGTGGCTGCTTGTCCCCCACGGGCTGCCCACCGGTCTTCCCGACCACCGACTGAGGATCCTCGAGCGCGACGTCGACCTGTCGAAAATGTTCGCTCGGTCGCGCGCCAAGTCCATCTTTCAGCAAGTCGTGGACGCCGGGGATACGAACATACGGAGGGGCAGGAGGATCCACGCCCACACCGCGTTTCACCGCAGGTCCTCTGCTTCGCTTAGAGCCGCTGGTCTGGTCGCCGGTCAGGGATTTTTCGTCGGCGACCCTTTTCCCCGACTGCCTTGGGGCCGGCCCACTCTCCTCGGCGGTTGCGCGACCGCCGTGCATCACCGACGCGAAAGCAGTTGGGAGGAGGCTAAACCCGGCGGTGCCAATGCCCTGTTGGGTCGCGGAGGTGACCGCCTTCACCAGGTCGTCCCTAAGCTCTTGGACGACCTTCGCAGTCACGGCAGCGGCGATCCGCTGCGCCTCGCCCTCCATGGCGGCCTTCACCTCGGCAGACACGACTGTTTTGATGTTCTGGCCGAGAGAATCTGCCACACCTCGAAGCAGCAAGAGGTCGTCCTCCCGTCGCCTACCCTGTGCAGCAGTAGCCGTCAAGTGCAGGGCCTGCACGGTGGGCATCCACTGCGTGTTCATGAATTCGAGGGTGGAGCCGCGATAGCTCACCGCCTCCTGCACGACCGCCCTCACAGCGTCCACCGCCGTTTGGATGCTCCTCCCCGACGTCTGCTCGAGATGGGTCACGCCCTCGGCGACTGTAGTGAGCTTGTTCACGGCCGAGGTGACCACGCCGTAAATCGTGTCATTCCGGGCCGTTTGGAACTCCAGCCTCTTTTCCGCCACCAGCTTCTCCTCCCTCAGCTTCTTGATCTCCCTCTCCGCCGCCTTCAGACGCTTGATAGCCGCCTTTGACACCATCCTAGGCGGGGTCGAGCCACTGCTGCCCCGGGCCTTCTTGCCCAACTTGGGTCCGCTGCCGCCGCCCATATCCGCAACCTTCTCACCGGCGAACTGCACTGCCTCCTCTTCGCCGGTGACAACCACGTCGTCCTCCTCACGCTCCACGTCCTCCTCCTCTTCTTCCGAGCCACCGTCGTGCTCCCCGCCCCCCTCAACGTCCTCCCTCTCGTGCTCCTCCTCCCCACCCATAGCGATGCCGGTTTCGACGCCACGGGCCACGGTCGACGCCGCCTCCCCTCTGTTCGACGCGGCCTTCTCCGCGTGGTGCAGCAGCTCCAGTCGGAGCGCCTTCAAGCCGACCATCTTCGGGTTCTCGACGATGAGCGGATCGTAGCTGCGAAACACGTCGTCGAGATGCTCCAAAGACCACGCGAACGCGTTGACCGCCAACAGCCCCGAGCCGGCGACCTCCTCCTTGAGGATGTCGGGCAAATTCTGCATCAACATCCGAAGCACATGGCGCCGACGAAAAGGGTGAGTCGACGCCTCGACGACGATAGCCCAGGCGACAAGGCGACATGGACGTTGGAAACTCACATCACGGATGGGGGCGGCAAGACTCTCCAGACGTTCGGAGAGGATTTCGGCGGAAGGAGGCGCAGCCGTCCACTGCCTTCCCTCACGGTTCAACTCCGCCTTCGCGCACTCGGCGAAAAATCTGCGCTACGAGAAGGGAAAGAGCCATCAGACAAGGCGGCATGAACGCCGTTAAAGAGCGGCGCGACTAGCCGTCGACGTTGTCCCACCTCATAACGTTGGCCGCCTCCTCCTCGTGCCGCTTGGAGGAGGTCTTGGGGTCGAGGTGGCGGTAGAACGTCCCGATCTCCTCCTCGTCGGGCAAAAGCAGGTCGCCAGGGCGCACAACAAGCAGGACGCTGCAGTGCCTGCCGGGAAGAGGTCCGCCCCTGCCCACACAAGCACGACGGAGACATTCAGGGTTCTGTCCAGGAACAACAAGCAACTCGGTCGGCGTGGATCAAACCTCGCGGGCGCGGAACACTCACCCGGTGCACAGGGGGATGGCGAGGGCTTCGAAGCCGAAGGCCGACCCGAAAACCAGATAGTCCGCCTTCGACGCCGTCCTGGCGGCGCGAAGACTCGCACCGCGGATCAGGATCATGCTGTCGCCTTTTCCCAGACGATCGAGCTCGTACCTGGGACAAGCGGGGGCGAAAAGGCGGGAGCGAAACACTTGCGCGGTGAGCTACAATCCATGCCGGACGAAGGTAAAGCACGACGGCGATGTCGCCGGAAGCATGACGGACGTCACCGACGTAGGGCCAATGGTCGACTAGTTGATAAGACGACGCAGCTAAAACGTCCATCGCGGATGGACATCGTCGACCACACGGGAAATCGACAAGGCCAACGTCGACCTAGAAAGGACGCCGACGAAAACGCGCTGAACCCTAAACAACTGACAGCGCGACCTAGGGATGCGCGCTCACGCGAGGCCGAGGTCGAAGCAAGTTTCTGTGAACTCGGCCTTCTCGTCGCGAAGGACTTCGTAGTCCTTCATCTCCAGCGTCACCACGTACCCACCGACGCCCACTGGCACCTGGAGGGGGAATTCAGTCGCAGGCAGTGCTCTCCTACTGGTCGCCATGCTAACACCACGGTCGGTATCACGGAAGGTTTGGGGAGGAGCGCGGAGAGTTGACAGGGAGGCAGAGGAAATCGGAAAGCGAAGGTGGAAAGGAGAAATGAGGGATGGAGTGGGACCCCCCATCAAGAAATGGGTCGTGGGCCGTCGGTCGGTCGCCTAGGATGCAGCTCGGCGGACGAGGCAGGTCGTGGCCAAGGGCGAGCCTCCGGCTTCGGCCCGTACCGGGCATGCCCTCGATGGCGGGGTTCGGAGCGGCGGAGGTGGGTGGTTTGTGTGGGCCGTGCGTGGGGGTGGTCGGGGTGGCGAGGGCGAGCCACGTGTCCCCTCTCGAGGGGCCAGCGATGTTGACGAGGGTGGGGTCGGGCCCTCCGAATTTTGCAACCAACCCGCCTGCCCGGCGAGGGCAGGCCGAGAGGGTTACTAGGGCCTCGTGGGCAACGCGAAGCGGATGTCCGCCTCCGTGAAGGGGTAACTAGGCCCCTCGTCGCTCACGCGGGAGTTCGCCACCTGTCGGCTGCAACGTGGGGTTCTGTAGGAAATCGGGGTGGGGGGCCGGGGTGGGGGTCGTGGGCAGAGCCCCGCCCCGCGCCAGCCTGGCGGGGGACTCACGCGAGGGAGTTGGCCGCCCTGACGCTCGGTCGACCGTCACCCCCCTGCGTCGTCCCAGGCATAACGGGTGCGTCACCCCGAATTCCGATGAGCGATTCAGCACCGCGCTTTTCTCAATCCATCGATCGCGGGCATCTACTTCCTCCGGCATCTTCTCTTCTCCCATCGAGAGTTTCAGCAGCTTATAGCGCTTGAAGGCGCTCCGCATCCGCCCGCTCCATTCCTTGTAGTTGGAGCCATCCAACGCCTCAATCTTGGATGGTGGCGGCTCACTCCTCTTCTCAGCTGCTTCTCCACTCTCTTGACTCATCTCCTCTGCTCCCAATTACATGTTCCAGCTCCCCCCTTGCTGTCCCCACCAAAGTCCTACACAAGTTCCACAAGTGTCGGCGCCAACGAAATTTCGGCAGAGTTTCCCTTTAGCGGAAGTCACATCCAACCTCCAGAACTCCACTTAGGCACGCTCACAGACCATAGTGGGTCTAGGAGGGTCTTCACAATTCAGTAGACTCTCCACAAAGTCCTTAATAAGCTTCTATACCACTTGTTAGAGATTAAGGACGGAGTCTATGAAGATTAGGAGCCGAAATATCTCAAAATCGTTGGGCCTAGTTTCTGGACAGAAAAGTCGAGTTCACAAGAAACGCCGTCGACGAAAAGTTCACGGTTAAAACTTCACCAAACTCAGATATGTTGTAGCCCTATTCTGTGGCTACAATTCCCAATTTGAATCGCACGATATGGAGAAGCATTTCTTGATGTATCAATTTCAGCGCACTAGGGAGTATGCTGCCATAGAATCTTAACTCAATCACAAAGTTCACACAATTTTCACACAAGGAAGTAAGAGTAGAAATTAACCAGGTGGGAGGGAAGAGGAGGACGAGAGGGAAGGTCCCCAAGGAGTCCCCAACCAAGGAAACCCCATAAGCACACCAAATCCCTTCCCTATAGGAACCCCACTTTTACTTTTGTCACTTACCAACCCATGTCATCCACCTTGCCCAACTTGGCCACACTTGCCAACCTGGTTTGGCACCTCCCAACCACTTGGCAGCATCTACAGTGATGTTGACGAATTTCCCAACCCCCAAAAGTCTATACCCCTTATGGAGTCAACCCCACAACTTCCCATAGTCACCACAACCAAATATCAAAAGCATACGAACTTCCAACGTTCGTAACTTTCTTGTTCGTGCTCCGATTGAAGCGATACTTGGTTCGTCAGAAAGCTATTGAGCAGAGGAGTCACTTCAGATATCTTCTCACGCCAAATATTATTCACACACACACTCAGAAAAACCAAACCACATCAAACACAAATTCTTGCACACGCTCACACCACGCATGCAACGCACGAACATGTGATGGGAGGCAGACGGACGTGAATGCAAGTGATAGCATCACATAACATAGAGTGCCACGACCAAGCGCTACTACATAACCTGTTGCGGCACGTTTCGCCCCTAGTACGCCCTCTCCCGCCACGCCCAGCCCACCTGCACCACCATCTGTGCCGGAAGGGATTGCGTCGTCTGCTCCCACCCCCCGCTCTCCATTGTTGCTGCCGTCGGGGTCAACGCCGCTCTCACCTGACACTATTCTGCGTAGTGACCCCGCGGCCGAGGAAGAGGATGGTTCAGGCGTCTCCCGTGCAACGGCGAGAATTTCTATGCGTAGTCGCCGCCTGATCTGGGGGGCGTGAACGACCGCTGACGGGGGGGAGGGGTGCTCCCGACACGCTTGGTATCAGTATCCGCGCAAAGCGCAAGACACAGCCGTGGGCGCAAAGGCCTCACGCAAGCCCAAACCGAAGATTTAGACGGAGATATTGGCCGAGGTGGCTGGAGATGTTGGTGATCACTTTGAGCGGCAAGATCGCAAACAAGACAAGCATTGGGAGGAGTTCAAGGAACTCACCCGTGAGGCGTTCCAGGGTTTTCGGGATGCGCGACGAGCCAGGAGGCGTAGATCGCTGCGGTCATCCTCCTCATCCGAAGAAGATGAGAGAAACGACGCACGCTAGGCTCGGTAAGTCGCAGCCGCGCGGCGGGTCCCTCGAGCCGCTCTAGTATTTGCGCAGCCTTTAGTTTAGACTATAAAGACTATTGAGAGCCATAGTAGCAATCTTAGGGAGCTATCACCTCAACTGTGTGAAGAAATGTGCTGGAAAACTCCAAGACAGAAAGTTCAAGTAATCTCCATGAAGAAGGCATACAAAAACAGACAACACAAAGCAAGTTATAAGCAAAAGGATTTCTGATTTTGCCCTCGCGCAGCGCCTAATTTCGACCTGAGTTGTACTCGGCTCAATTTCCAAATTCAACCATGCGTCGAACGCGCCTCGAGTTCGAACTTCAGACTTCCTTGGACGCGCCTTTGACCCGGCGTGACTTTCCTTTCACGTCACTTGAAAGCACGACAGTTCAGTCGTGTTCTTCTCCATTTCAGCACGCTTCCTCTCCTTCTCTTCGTTTCCCACTGCAGGCCGCGCTGCTATCGTGTTTCTCCTTCCACCGTCCCAACATAGGTAGCTCCTCTTCTTCTTAGGTCCTCGTTTTCCCTTAGTCACAGCTCGTCACACCGATTTCTTCTTAGGCCGATGTAGATCGCGTTAGTTCGTTTTAGGTCGTGGTTAGCCAACCACCTTCAACAATCTCCCCTGTGGTTTGCGAACCACCAGCTTATGCACTCTCCTTCTCACGTTTCAACTTGAGCCACCTCTAGGCCTGCTCCACACTCCCCTGCAATTCAGCCAAGGTACGTGTCCCAACATCTCTCTTGCAACGCTCAAAATTAGCCCTTGGTAACACCTTAGTCAGAAAATCTGCCGTGTGTGCCTCCGTACGCACTAATTCAAACTCAAACTCCTTGCTACTCACCTTTGAACGCACCCAATGATACTTCACGTCCATATGCTTGGTCCTGCCATGCCAATTGTCGTTATGAGCCAAATCGATTGCAGATTTGCTGTCCGAGCGAATCACCGTAGGTCCTTCCACCTTGATTTCTATCTCCTTGAGTAGTCTTCTCAGCCAAACCCCCTCTTGGCATGCGTAAAACAGAGCCATGTACTCCGCTTCCGCACCAGAGAGTGCTATGTCAACCAACTTTTTCGCTTGCCACATGATTGCTGTCCCCCCGAGCAGAAACACGTAACCGTATGCTCCCTTCCTTGTTTTCTTGTCGGATGCGTGTGAAGCATCCGCATACCCCACTAACTCCAAGGTCTCTTCACCTCCTTCGAATAACAGCCCCTCATCTTCATGTTGCAGTAGGTAGTCGATAGTCCTCCTCATCTCTCTCCATTTTCTCTCCCCTTGCTGCTGCACTTGTTGCCCAAGATAGCTAGCTGCGTATGCCATGTCGACTCGCGTGCATGAAACTGGGTACATTATGGACCCCACCATGGACTGGTATACATGTAGAGCCCTCTCCTTGCTACCCCATTGGTTGACATCTTCCTCTCGCTCACCGTCGTTTTCAGCTACCCCACTCAATGGTGTGGTAATTTCCTTCGTGTAGCCGTTGCCAAACCTCTGCTGCACCCTGCTGCAATATTTCTGCTGGTATAGGAACATCTTCTTCTCCTCATCCCGCCGCTCCAGATTCATGCCGAGAAAGAGTATGGTCCGCGGGATTTGCTTCACTTGAAAGACTTCCGCAAGGTGAGTGCACACCTTCTCTACCTCCTCCTCTAACGCCCCTGCCACCAAGATGTCGTCCACGTATAGCACCAAGAACACCTTCTCTTTCCCTTCTCCCTTCCAGTAGAATGCCCTATCACACTCGCTTTTCTGAAATCCCCCTTGCAGTTGCCGCTCATCCATCGCCATACACCACTCCCTAGGACTCTGCTTCAGCCCATATAATGCCTTATTGAGCTTGCATTTTCTGCCCGAGCCGTCGTCATGCCCTGGTGGTTGCTTGAGGTAGATGTCCTCCTTCAACACCCCATACAAAAACGTGTTTTTAATATCCAGCTACACCAAGTATCTCCTCGCTGCTACCACCTTGAGAAAGACACGTGCCGTTGTCAACTAGCTCACTGGAGCATAAATTTCGTTTTGTTTGTAGTCTTTCCCCTCCACCTGAGTGTAGCCCTTGGCTACAAGCCTTGCTTTGAACCTTTCCAGTTGCCCCATATTTCCGGTCTTTATTTTAAAAATCCACTTCACCCCCACGGCTTTCCTCCCTTCCGGCATAGGCACGAGCTCCCATGTGCCCCTTTCAGCCAATGTGTTCAACTCCTCCTCAATTGCTGCTTTCCACTGCTCCCTTTCTGGACCCTCTAGCGCCTCCTCGATGCTCACTGGTTCTTTGGGCAGGTTGTGTGTCACTTTTTCTTCATTGGAGACTAGGTCAGTCGATGTGGCAGAGAGTAGAAGGTGGGTGTGGATGTCCTTCCAGCACGTCATCAGCAGTTGCGCATACCGAGGGTTTGGTTTTTTCACCCTCTTTCCTTTCCCCAACTCCTCTGTAGGTGATTCCACCTCATCTCCACTGAAATCCTC